TTTGTCATATGTTACACTGTCCGACGTTCCCCGCCCCCCCACCCTCTTCTCTGCTGTCCATCCCCCAGGGAGGAGGGTATACGTAGATTCCTCCTTTCCACCCCACATTCCCTCCACCCTCCAGGCATTGCCATTCTCACCACTGGTCCTGAAGGGTCATCTGTCCCGGATTCCCTGTGTTTCCAGTTGCTCTCTGTACAATGTACAGCCTCTGGTCTAGCCAGATTTATAAGGCAGAATTGGGATCATGACAGTGGGGGGGGGAGCATTTAAGAGGTAGAGGAAAGTTATTTTCTAATGGTAACAGCAGACACTGCATCAGGATGAAATAACTTGACTCCAATTTCCCCAGAATAATCAAAATCAAGATAAAAGACCTAGGGGAAAATGTACAACAAAAATCATGGACCAAAGTTGACTTATCTATAACATTTAATTAGTAGGTATTGTCCCTATGGGGAACCAGATTGGGGGTGGAATACTGTAACACAAGACTAAAAACAGCAAATGTACGCAAATCATGTCAATGTCAACAATAACTAAATAAAGGCCACTGAAACAACGAGAATCATTTTCATCCTTTTAAAGTTGCAAAAAATAAAAGGTGAGGGGTGGGGGAATGTGGAAACAATGACTGGGTGGGCGTCAAAGAAAGAGCTCCACTGTGAGTGGAGAGAAAATTATATTCTAAGGCATGTGTATTTGACACAATAACACTGCTGAGAATCCTTCTCAAACTAAATACCACTAAGGGGAGGGGGGGGGGGGAGAGGATGCAAGAGCCAGAAAGAGAGATGGCTGTGTATACAACTGCTCTGAATCATTAGCAGTCTTATATAGTATAAACTTCTAGAAATAACCTCAATCTAACAATGAAATAGTAGAGTAAAACATGATACGAATAGAAGAGAATTGGATATGGTTACTAAAATTATACGTACAGCAATTAGAAGAGTTAGGACTACTAGTTATTGAAAGTTCATTATGTGGCATGGGCAAATATGAAATATCACAATTTGGAATGTAAACTTAACATATGTGTGCAGTATGACAATGATATAAATTATCCACAAACAGAGTAAATAGAGATGCTTAAAACTGCCATGAGGTAAAGCTGTTATGGCTATAAAAAATTATTTTCCTTTAAAATACTTTCTTTAGACAGTGCTATAAGGTTGATTTGGTATGTTAAAAAACGTCAACTCTTTCAACGGTGTCATGTACAACAGGCAGTGCCGGCCTTCTCATCAGCAAACACAAGAGAACCCCTAAGACGTTAACTCCCTTAGGAAGTGAGGGAGAAATCGTGCATACTCTCAGTAATTTCCTTGTTGCCTTGCAAACTGTACATTTAAAAAATTAGTAGAATATTGTGTTTCAAGAGCTCCTGTCTGGGGCCAAAGGAAAACTGTAATCACAGCAATTACCTTGTGAACCTCTAATTTCTGTTGCAGTTCTAAAGTTCGGAGCACACACCCACCCACAAGCACCATGGCGCTTGCATCTTGAAGCAATTTCTGCTTCGTTCTTGGGAAAATAATAATTATAGGTACCACAAGGTATTTAAAGACCAGAAAAGGGAAAAAAAAGTCATGAAAACACCATTCCCACATTACCGCAGAGAGTCCCTGGGAAAGAAGGTACCCAAGTCATATATTTCCAGGGCCATTAGCATCTATCAGGAACCAACTTCAGAACAGAACAGGGGAATGGGTGGGCGGGTGGGGGGCAGTGATTGACGGAGGACATTGGCTCTGGAGTCTGAACCTGCCGGTAGGTAATTAATGATGGCAGCTTGCAATTCGAGACAGTTCTAGGTGAAATTTATGGGGGTGGGGGGTGGGGGAAACCAATAGAACTTTTTCCTCTGGGAGGTTCCTTTTCCTAGAAGGCTCTTTCTTGTTCAAGGAAATGCAAGGCTCACTCATCTCCTTCAAGACTTTGCTGTTAATTTCATTTTTTGAGATGTGCTATGTAAATATATATAGTATATTTCTTTAACAATGCCCCCGCCTCAAAAAAAAAAAA